TTAAAATTATTTATCTATTATAAATTTTAATTATTCAAAATAAGATTTATTTTGTATATATTTATATTACGATGCTAATTTATTTATAAAGTATACAAAATTAATATGATGATATTTTCTCAACGAAAGAAGAATTAATTTGTCGTTAACAACTTTACTCATTTAATAAAAAACTATTACGATAATAATATACTTTATAATATATATTTATATTTTCTTTAAAAAAATATTTCTTTATATATTAAAAATATTTATTTATTATAAATTTTAATTATTCAAAATAAGGATTTATTTTGTATATATTTATATTACAATGCTAGTTTATTTATAAAGTATACAAAATTAATATGATGATATTTTCCCAACGAAAGAAGAATTAATTTGTCGTTAACAACTTTGCTCAAGTTAATAAAAAAACTATTATAATAATAATAACAATATTATTATTATTATTATTATTATTAAAAACAAACGACTTTAATTTTCCGACAGTAGCCCTCGTTTCCTAGATGAGAAAATATTAAAAAAAAACCGACAATTATTGTATAATAAAACTAATTATTTTGTATATATGAAGGGAATGAATGTTTTAACTTTTTAAGTATGAATAGTATAAATTTATTACGAGCGTGACAGCTATGGAGGGTTGGATATGAATAGCAAACTTTTTGTTTTGAGAGATGTGAGATTTTTCAAACTTGCACACTACAAACCCTCCAAGTCAAGTCAACAATTACCACCCCTAGTAGGTGCCATCATAACGTTCTAATCTTCTACACTATTCTACAATTATATTTTAATGTTGATATAAATATTTTCATACTAGAGAAATTATTTTAAATATATATTTTGGTAAGAGGTGATGGTGACTTGGTCACTATGTCATCATTATAAACTAAATTAAGATTTTGGTAATCTTATTTGGATAACTTTTCTACCTTCTCAGACAAATAATAAAATGCAAAAGCAATAATTAGTGAGTTTAAAGGAAAGAAATGAGATATTAGAATTGCATTGAAATTAAAAAAGAATAAAATAAGAAGTTAAAGTGTAAGTGAAGTAAATTCATGAATTTAAAAGAAAAGAGTGATAAATAAAAATGAACAAAAATAAATTGCATGAAACGTATGGAGAAGGAGATGAGAAATCAAAGAATTTATAGTGTGTTTGAATGGAGAATTTAAATGAAGTAATTTATTTATTTGAAAATTTTTAAATTCTTTAAGGTGAAATGTTTTGTTTGGATAAAAAATTTATAAAAAAATTTAAAATTTAAACATGTGTGAAACTCTTTAAAATAGTATAATTTTAAATTCTCTCAAAAAAATAAATAAAAATTTAACATTTTTCATATTTTATTTTCTTATTTCACTTATATATTATCTTATTTCTTATCTCATCATGTTTTTAATTATTAATTATTTAAAAATATTTTTAAAATTATTAAATATTTGAAAATATTTTCAAATATCATCTTTGAGAAAATCTTCAAAAAGATGATGATTTAAAAATTAAAAAATAAAATAAAATTCATGCCATATTTATATACTATATTTTACTCGATATGACCCTCGGTTATATTTTAGTCTTTAATTCTGTAAATGTCTTTTTTAAAGTCATTTTACTTGACATTCATTTCCTGATTTATTTGTTAGAAAGAATAAAACTTTTTTATTAGGTTTTTTCATTTCAACAAGATTACTGTAAGCCTACATTTGAGAAGCCTAAAAGATGTATTATTTTATTAATACAACACTTAAAATAATTTTCCTAAGTTACACCAAAGCAGCTGATATGCAACTCAATCATCAATGGTAAGTTATAACAAACCTAATAGAGGGATTCACACACTAAAAAAAATTGAAAATAATTTAATATTTTATTTTATTAATTTAAATTGATGAATAATTATAAAATTATTTTATATATTAATTTAAATCTATATAATAAATTATCATATAATTTTCAATTTTTTTAAAAAAATTTGTTAACTTAATCTATACATTAAAAATTTTTAATTTAACAATTAGATCATTAAAATTTAATTTAGAATATGAATAATTTTTAAAAAAATTAAAAATTATTTAATATTTTATTTTATTAATTCAAATTGACAAATAATCATAAAAATATTTTATATATTGATTCGAGTCTATATAACAAATTATCATATGATTCTTAATTTTTAAAAAAATTTGTTAACTTAATTTATATTAGAAAACTTGATTTAAAACATAATTTATTAAGTGAAGTAAATTTATCAAAATTTACTCTTAAAGTTAGTAGATTCTCTCTCTCTCTCTCTCTCTCTCTCTCTCTCTCTCTCTCTCTCTCTCTCTCTCTCTCTCTCTCTCTCTCTCTCTCTCTCTCTCTCTCTCTCTCTCTCTCTCTCTCTCTCTCTCTCTCTCTCTC